CCTCCCCCCCTCTAAAATCAATTCTCTCCTGGAGATCGTCTTCGTGAGCCTCTCATGATTTCAGGATAGTTGAAACCCTCTTGAACATTCAGAAAGAGTGAATATGAAATTCTAATCACGAAAGGTGTTCCCCGAGGGGATACATACCTAGAGTTTGTTTTGTGAAGCACGTCAATTCTCTCCTGGGGAGCGTCTTCGTGAGCCTCTTCTGGTTTCAGGATAGTTCAAATCCTATGATGTTCCGATTCAATGCTCACCGATGATCTGAGCCATGTCTTTTTGAACATTTCGAGAGCACATGTTTGAACATTTAAAGTGCATATGAACATATATGTACGAAAGGTCGCCTCCGAGGGGATAAATCACCATGTCGAACATTGCATTTTTGTTCCTGCCTCTCGCGTTCTCTTCTCTTCCCGCTGTCTTACCTTTCGTGTCTCCCTCCTCTCAAGTTATGAATTTGGTGCCACTCAACCAACTGTGTGAAGCACTAGTGGGAGACGTCGCAACTCTCCCGAATATTAGTAGTTTTGGGTCTTTCCTTTTGGACGATGGGGAGATGGCTCTGATCAGTTCAGAAGATGTGCGTTGTTTCTTTTATCTGTTCAGGGTTCCAAGTTCGTGGAAGCGCTTCCTTGGATTCAATCGCCTTGTACCCCCGTCCTTGGTGCCTGAAGCGTGGCGCGATCGTCCTTGTGTGCTTACCTCGTGCGTGTTGCCCATGGGATTCCTCAATAGCGTGTCTATCGCACAACACGTACATAGGAATATTGTCACCTGGAGTCAGCAGGCCAACAAGGTGCTTGGAGGAGAATGTGAGATGCGAAAGGATCGTGTCAGTAGTGCGGCCAGAAACCAGTATCGCGTCTACCTTGACAATTTTGATCTCGTGGAGCGATTTGACCCCGCCACAGCAGACACAGTACGTGGGCGGGTGGCCCAAGCAGTGCAAGACCTCAGAGAGCAGTACGCCTCACAAGGTATCCCTCGGCATCCAAAGAAAGCTGTAGTCCGGGCTCCGGTCGCGGAGATACAAGGTGCAATCATCGATGGGGTTGAGGGGTTTGCTCAGCCCAAGGCAGGCAAGGTTACATTGTATTGCCGGCTGGCGGTGATGTTGGTCGACCGTGGTTGTTGTACCTTGAAGGAGCTTCAGGTGGTATGTGGCGGCTTCGTGTACTTCACCATGTTTCGGAGACCGTTGTTGGGGATCCTGAACGAGGTATGGAAATTCATGGAGAAGCTCAAGAAGCTACCGCCCGTGGTGAGGCTCCCGGTCCCTGTGGGAGTCCAGAGAGAGTTGCTGACCTTTACCTTGTTGACTCCACTGGCCCAGATTGACTTCCGGTGCCCTTTCATGGACCATGTCACCTGCAGTGACGCCTCCACCTCTGGGGGCGGAGTGTGTGTGAGTGAAGGACTTACTGGGTATGGCGTGGCGGCCTTGAACACGGAGAGTAGGGGTGATCTCCCGCAAGAAGGGGAGATTCTGCAAGTGTTGACGGTTGGACTTTTCGATGGTTTGGGGGCGCTGAGGCTAGCGGTAGACAGCTTGGGCGTGGGCGTGGCCGGTCACCTGAGCGTTGAGAAAGAAGGAACAGGACGACGCGTGGTCGAAGCTTTCTTTTCTGATACCATCTTCCACGATGATGTCACCACGGTGGACGAGGAGTTGGTCAGAAGTCTTGCGATGCGCTTTCCCTCAGTGTCGCTCGTCCTCATGGGCGCTGGACCACCGTGTCAGGGAGTGAGCAATCTCAATGCCTCGAAGAAAGGGGCCTTGCGTGACGCCCGGAGCTGTCTCTTTCAGGAGGTGCCCCGCATAAAGGAGCTCTTCAAGATCCATTTTCCTTGGGCCCAGGTGAGGTTGTTGATGGAATCTGTAGCTTCAATGTCGGAACAAGACCGCTGCGTCATGAGCGCCGCCGTTGGGTTGCAGCCGCACCGGGTTGATTCTGGAGGCATCAGTTTGTGTCATCGACCTCGACTTTATTGGGTTGACTGGGACTTGACAGAGGGGGAGGGATGAGTCAAGATCACCCCTCCCGTAAGTGGTGGCCCTGAGTGGGCAGGTTGTGGCGTTGTGGAGTTGAAGGCACACGTGGATGAACAGGCATTTTTGGAGCAGGGATGGTTCGTCACAGAAGGCTTCAAACTTCCGACCTTTACCACTTCACGGCCGCGTGAACAGCCGGGATTCAGACCGGCCGGGTTGGGTCGTTGCGCCCCACATGAAAGACAGCGATGGGAAGATGACAGCTACCGCTTCCCACCATACCAATATCGTGACCACAACCTTGTCTGGACCCGGAAAGGAGCGGCGCGGAGGCCGAATATCCAGGAGAGGGAGGCCATCATGTGCATTCCGGTTGGATATACCCGACCTTGTCTCCCGAAGAATCAACAGAGCGGAACGCTTTGGGAAGATACTCGATTGACATTGATCGGCAACTCCTGGCATGTAGGAGTCATCACCTGGCTGCTGGAGCAGTTGCTTGGCCCTTTGGGTTTCTGTCGACGGCAAGGCCTTCAACAGCTTGTGGACTACTTGACGCCAGGTCGGAGTGGCTCGTTGCAGGGAATCCTACTTCGCCCGCCGTTGTCAACGAACCGGACATTGGTTGAGACCCTTGAGAAACCTTTGTTGTTGAAGTTGCTCGGGTTAGTGTCAATGAAGGGCGAAGATCTCATGGTCACAGCAGTCAGTGAGCCCCAGGTCAAGTTCCACCGTTTGCGTTCTAGTGTGCCGGCCAAGTTGTGGCGATGGCGTGAAGTTACAGGGTGGCAGTGGCGCCATTCGGGTGAGCACATCAATGTGCTTGAGCTTCGGGCCATCCTGACTACATTGAGGTGGCTGGTGATTCGTCGCAATGGACATCGTAAGCCGTAAGCGCTTTCTGCATTTGACGGACAGTTTGGTGTGTTTGCATAGCTTGTCGCGTGGTCGGAGCTCTTCCAAAAAGTTGAGGCATGTTTTGATGCGGATCAACTCTTTAATCCTTGCTGCGGACCTCCACCCCATCTGGGGTTACGTGCATACTGCTCAAAACCCAGCCGACCGGCCTAGCCGGCGGCCCCATCAGCGGAAATGGGGAAAGTGAAGCAGCATTTGGAGGGCCATAGCAAGGAAGAAAGAGCAAAGAACCGACAAGCATTAGGAACCCTTCGTGAACTGACCGTTCAACCGCAAACTAGAAAACGCTACAGCCTGGCAAAGCAAAAGTTCTATGACTACGCCCATGCAAATGGTTTGAGTATACCCACCAAGTTCTCTGCCTTCGATGATATGTTGGCCGACTACGTTGAACACCTCTGGAGTGTGGGAGAGGGTCGCGCCTTGGCAAGTGACACGGTCGCTGGTTTTCAGGACACGGAGCCGCGGTTGAAGGGTCAACTTCAGGTGACATGGAGGTTGCTGAAGACGTGGCACGTCAATGAAATACCTAGCCGCGCACCCCCCTCTCCCGGAGGAATGTCTGCAGGCCATGCTTGGATGGTGCCTTTTCCATGAGGAATTCGCCTTCGGCTTGAGCTTGTGTTTGGGCTTCTACAGTTTGCTGCACACAGGGGAGATTCTGGGATTGTGCAATCACCACATTTTAATGACATCTCCCGATAAACCTGCAGTGATCTCGTTGGGCCTGACTAAGTCGGGGAAGCGTGCTGGTGCCTCTGAGAGTGTTACCATTTCGGTCACCTGTGCCCTTCAGTGGCTTTGGGCATGGAAGAATGCATCCTCCTCGCGCTGCCCCCCTTACCCCTGCGCCGCACCAATGGCGAAAGAAATTCTCTGAGTGTGTAAGGGCTTTGAACTTAGAGCAATTCGAGTTCCGCCCGTACAGTTTACGACGGGGCGGGGCTACCTGTTGGTTTGGCCGGCACGGATCCTTAGACCGGATCATTGTGGGCCGCTGCTCGCACGGCTCGCATATACATCAATGAGGGGCTAGCCATGGTCGCTTCTCTCAAAATTCCCCGAAAATCGTTGGTCCCTTTTCTTCGCACGTTTCACCAGCATGACTTGAAACGCCTGCCGAGAGCGCTTGAGCGTACTAAAGCAGGGTAGGGGGAGTTGGAAGGGAGGTGTTAACCAGTGCGGGGAGGAAATTAATTTCGTGTCAAGAGAAAGACTTTGATGTTTACCTGTGCCCAAGTGTCCTGGACTGGCAGGATGCTTGGGGGGGTAATGAGGGGCGGCCTGCTTTCTTCTTTGGATTGGCTGGAAAGTAGGTCGCTGCGCCTCTAAGGGTGTTGACCCGAGAAACGGAAAGGTAAGTCTTTCTCGATCGTATGTTCCTTTTTAAGTTTTTTCTGACACATGACTGCATGCGCGGGTGAAAGCACAGGGTGTGAGTCCTTATATATATATATATCATGAATTCCACCTGTATAGTCTTGGCTTCATCTTCTTGCAGGACGGTGCCTATGACGCGCTCTTTCAGCGTGATTTGCTGGCGCATCTGGAGCGCCACGAAAGGGCCGAGGCGGTGGATGTACTCCTCGCGGCGGACGTGTTGATTTATGTGGAACACTTGGAGAAGGCGCCAGCGGAGCAGGTTCTTCACCCTTCGTCAACACCAGTCGAAGGGAAGTACATAGCTCACCCTTTTGAGCGAAAAAGGGCGATCCAAGACTGAAGGCTTGCAAGGATCGTAAGCCTTTAAATTGAATCTGGAGTTTGGAAGAAACGGAACCTGCTTCGACCTAAAGCTCTTGGAGTTGCAAGTTGCAAGTTCGGGTGATTCTTGGAAGAGTGGTAGGGCTGCCCGGAACATCCACTCACTTGGGGTCGAGTCTAACCACTCCGACATGGAACTCCTGGAAGCGTCTTCTTTCGAATTTGGTTGCAGAAACACGAGATATGACTAGCAGCCTACTAGAACGGGTGAAACCATGTGAAACCAGCAAATAAGTACAATCTGTGGTCTAAGAACCGACATGATTGAAGTGGCATGAAGTGGCCAAATATTGCCTTTCCCAATGGTTTTCTATCCAAAGCAGTGCCAAGTGCTTCCGGTTCTCTCACCTGTGTCCAATCAATTGGTTTTGCCTTCAGAAATCGACCACGCAAGGACTTGACCGTTTAAACGAAGCATGAAAGATCTACCAGGCTTCGTTCCCACCCTCCTTTCGGTGACGGACCCACCGTCCTAGGAAGACCTCCAAGCAATCGGTATTTGTCCTGCGTGTTGATTTCCCTTCTTCCAGGGGTTCTTGCCGGGGAGGTCTTCATTTTTCTCCACACCCATGTGACCGATCCCAAGATCGCTGGGGTCTTCGATCCGGACCGAGATCGACCAACCAGGTCTTTCGTGAAGCCCATCGCGTCTTGAAGAGGGGCGGCTGGTTCCTCTTCTCCACCGAGCTGGCGCTGGACACGGAAGTCACCGAGGCCGGTGTTCGAAGGCCTCGGCTCGGAGAGCTTCCCCCATGCCAAACCAACCATCGCCCCGAAGAGGTGAATTCGATGTGGAGGCGAACTGCGGACTCTGCCGGACTTTACAGTGGTTGGTCCTCACCCCAAGCTCCACCTTTGAGACTCAAGAGCTGGAAACCCTCGAAGGTCGAGTGGGATGTCACGGAAGTGAAGAGTCGCAGGTTCCGTGTCATCCCGCTCTCCACTTCTTGGGCCCTTTTCAACCAGAAGGAACTGAAGTTTTGGAAGAGGGCCATGGCTCAAAAATAGGTCAAAGCACTGGTTCGATGTTAGATGTTTTTTACGACATGTCTTGGTTGTTGTGTTTCTGTTTTCTTACACTAGGATTCAAACCTTCATTTAATATGATCTTTCCCGAACAACCATTGTTTTACACTACAAAATCAGATCTATCATTTTCACACTTGTCTTTCAAGGCTTAAACACAAACAACATGGAGCACACTTGCTGAACCACACAGGGCCGCACCCATTAACTCATGCCTGCGACCGCACCATGCCTGAAGGGCCGTGTGGTGCGCGAGTCTGGACGCATCGCCCACAGTCGTGGCTACATTGAAGCGCTGGCCTCCGAGCATTCCTTGGCTGTTTTGGAGGCAGAGACAATCCCATTGCGCATCGTGGGTGCCTGAGAGGGCTTGCTACGGCGCAAACATAGCGAACTGCATTGTTTTTTAGCATCGTGAAGCACTGTACCAAAGACAGTGGGTTGATGTTGAAGTTTCCACCTTTCACTCGTGCATTCACATACAATACAACATAACACAACTAAATATTTAACAAAATGGACAAACACATGTCCAGGTCAACTTTTAGGGGAAGATGCCACACTTTGCTGAAGCATTAATTTGTATGCGCAGGAAATTCTATATAATATGCTTATAGACTTGACTAAAGGAGTCTTGTCCTACATACTGAGGTCAGTTGTTCTCCTGCCTTAAAGGAAAGCAGCTCAAGAAAAGACCTCACTCCAGGGAACTGTATTGCGACAGACATTGATTCGAACTTGTCTAATCGTCTCTCCTACAATGGTGATGTGAACGCCCGACTGGTTTTGTTCTCATCACCGACCGACCACTTGGCCCTTACAACCTAGAAGAAGGCAACCTAGGCTGCGAGAAACGGCGCAAGGCGCAAGGCTCAAGCTGGTGCTGGGTGCTAAGGAAGATGATGTGCCCCTGCCAGGCGACTGCTATGTTTTACAACGCGACATGGCCAAGGATTTGAGAGATCGAGACGCTTGAGGTCTGACAAACCTTCAACGGATGCATCCGGGGCTCACCACTCTTCAGCCTCTTCGTGGAGCTGTGGGAAGACTGGCGAATCATAGGTCAACTACTCAGTGGATGGGCTTCACTGGCTTCAGCGATTGGACGTCACGAGACCTCGTGCGGCCAGCGGTGAGCAGCGGAGCGGCGGAGCGGTCGAGCGGCGGTGGACCGAAGAACGCCGCGCGCCTGGATCCAGTCGTTGCGATACGTCCGTCCAAAAGGAAAAGATGCACTGGAAAAGTGTGTTGTTTCAAAGAACACTTAAATGTCATATGTTTGGAGCCAGATTGGTTTGATCATGTTTTGTATATGGTTTCTTGAGAATGAGAAGAAGAGGTGGACAACTTCATGTAATTATGTAGGCTTACTCCGTCCAAACATTAACAGTTTCGCATCAAGGAGCCTCGCTATTTTGACAAAGGTCTTTGCTCATGCTCAGCCATCTTCTGAAGACAGTTGCTACCTGGGCATGACCCAGAAATAATGTAGCATCTACAGTAGCATCTACCGCCAAACAGACCAATTGCCATTGGGTCATTGGATCATGTTGAGCCATGTTGTGCCATAGTGTTGATATATGACAGGTCTGGTAAATGCCAATTTCATCCAATTTCATTATATTTCATTGTGTGTTTTAAATATGAATTCACTATGTTGTTGTTTCCTTTATATAAATGAAACAGATATGACGAAACTTTCGTAATTGTAAAACAGACATAAAAGAAAATGATCCCTGGACACGAACCAGACATTTGTCCAAATCATATCAGTTCCATATTGTTTTCATAAAACATTTTAAGAATATTGCTATATATATTATATATATAATATGTAGTTTGTACTGTTGATGGACAAAATCCTGCACCACTTCGTGCACAGTTTTCTTGCTGCCCTCTTCCTCCCTCGTTAACATTGGGGCCACCACAGTGAGAAAGTTAAAACAAGCTGAAGGTCCAAAATCCTGCAAAGGTTGTGCAGGAATTCGTCCATCAACGGTGTCGTTCAATAAACTATTAAACATTTATGAACCGATGTGGCAGTTTGTATGGTTTCAAAAGGTTTCAAGAAAAACGATTCTAAGAAACTATATGTTGTTTGTTTGATGTTATTTACATAAATTGTGATTTTCTTTTAAGCACAATCATAAATGTCCATTGTTGTTTTTTTGATTTTTTGTTGTTGTTTTAACCAACTTGTAGGATCTCAACCACTGTGATTTGGATCACTTTGTGATAGGCATCCTTGAAATGGATGTGGGTCTCGACATGTAGGAAAGACTTCAGCAAGGGTCAAAACATGTCAAAATTTCTGTAGTCATGAGATGAAAGAGTTGTGTCATAAGGGTGCCTGAGTCGCGTAAGCTCGCCAAGTCGCTCCGGCTGGGGTTGAGCCCTATGAACATCAACACAACAAAGGCAGCTCTCGGAGTGAATAATGTCAATTTGTGTTGTAAAATATGTGCATTTGTTCAAGTGTTCGATTGTGGGATGATTCACTGCAATGACCAGTATTCCGGTGACTATATCATCTTCTTCAGGTGGGTTGAAGCTGTACCAACCAGAAGAAGCTTTGGGTGGAAGTATTCGATGATAGCTCGGCCGGAGGAATGCAGAAGTCATTCCAACATATTCCAACTGCGTTACCATGCCAGCCGTGGTCGCCCCGCGTCGCTGCACGTAGCTGCGCGTTGAAGGGAGCCACCTTGGCCAAGCTGGCCGTTGATGTGTACTCACTGTTCAGCAAGAAAACCTTGCACTCGGTTCCTCACATTGAAGTGGACCCCCCGCCCCGCAATATACGCTATTAGGAATAACATGAAGATGTGTATACTGTGTATATACATATATGTTTCCTTTGCTATCTATATACTGTATATAAACATACATATTTGCAAAGGAAAGTTGTCTTTTCAAGGGACCATGCCATCCACTTCCATGTGATCTGTTCGTCAGAGACCAGTTCAGAGTGTTCATTGTGATGTCAGGGTGATGTCAGGTTGGCGCCTCGCGGAAAAAAAGAAACTCGAAACCGGTGGCATGCGGGTTTGGCAAAAGTTCTTTCCCTTAGGTGGATTACTCATTTTGCTCGCACGGAGGCAGTCTAGAACATGATTGTTTCTTTTCCTTCCAGTCCCTTTTTGGTGATGTTTCACTCAATTGGAATATATAAGTCGTGCTTGGACTGGTTCAAGGAGACGGCGCCAAGTTCCCGATAGGCCATTGACAACCATCATTCTTCCATAAAGACGGCCCAAATGGGGGCCGATTCGAGGATTTGCTGATTTGCTGACTCGACATTCGATGATTGTGATATTATAGAGTCATTGTAAAGGTGGCGGATCTATAGTCTTTGTATATGTTTGATCATCAGAATGCTCCCAGCAGACCATCCAGAAGACCCCCCCCCAAGTGGTGTAAGAAGGAATCGTCAACCCTCCCTCTACCGGTTCCGACGTTTGGGTGGGGCGCACTGCGGTGTTCTCCATGCGAAGGTGAGAGAAGAGCTTCATGAAGCTCCCGGAACCTAACGGTGTCTAAGTGTTCTCCAAGGACGCCTAATGCCAAAACGGCAGATTCTCCAGTATACTGATCTATCATAGATGTTCTTGAAAAACAGCGACGACCCCGGAAGTTTCTTTTTGCGGTCGCACCGGCCACCACGCTCTGAGGCATCAAACTCTTCCAAGAGCTTCTCATCGCCTTGGGATTTCCACTGAATGCTAAGGGTCACTTCGCCAGCAGATCTCCATCGCCCCACCCGTGCGACGTCGGTCCCTGCTGTAGGGGAAGTGATGGATACGTTTGATGTACTGGGGGAAAGCAGCTTTTGATGTACAATGTACAATATTGAAGAATACTTGCAGACTGATGAACCAAGAAGCCACAATCCTGTAGCCCAAAGGCTATGTTGACTGACGTGCTTGTCGCATTTCCTCTTGAAACAAATGCTGAGCCAAAGAGTGAGCCAACGGCGTGCAGGCTTTGGTCCATACAATGGGTGGGGTTTTAAGACCCATCGCTTGCATCGCAACGTGGGTCCACTCAATGGCTGGTTGGAACTAAGATGAACCACCGCCCCCCTGTTCTGAAACCTGTTTGCCTGTTCCTGAAGCATGGATGATCCAGGACGGATCCTAAAGTAGTTGAAAAAACAACCTTTCAACAGAGCTGTGGAAACCACTGGTGGAGAACCATCACGAACAATTCCGAAACGTGGGTCCAGATTCCTTCACCATGGGTCCATTGTTATTGATAATGAACCTTGCAGCCAACTCAGGCATGTTTCAAGAGTGGAAGAAGGCGGGATGGGTTTTGGGTTGTTTGACCAGTTGAACTTGTCACCTGCGAGTACGTCGAAGCCCAGTCAGATTGATGAACATGTATTTTCAAGTTTTGGTCCTTTGAAAGCAGACAGAATCTATCATATGATAATATACAGATCATGTCAAAGGTGTGGCTTTCAAATGCTTTCAAGCATTTTCAAGCCTTATCCTGAGATGGAACATCTACCAGGGAAACTATACTTTCCTGGTGTCGTGCCGGTCCACACCGTCCTCTCTGAACAAGTTGTGCCCGTCAAAGATCATCACCAAAGCGAATCAAGGATCAGCCACAAAAGCAGGCTTGGCTGTGGTGGCCAAATATAGAGTTGAAAGCTCTTGGAGTTTTGGACTCTCCATCACTCACATGCTGGCTCTTCAACTCAAACGTATAGTTTCCCTTCTAACGCAGCCATGCCATGCAATTGTTTGTTCTTTGCCGGGGATCACCAGAATCAACTCTGCATAGGCGCAGATCAGCAAGGGGGAAGACAAGGACGATGCTGATGCCAAGGACAGTCCCCTTTGCTTTGATACGCTGTGCTAAGTAAAAGTATGTGATGGAAGAGGTGAAAGCAGAGTTCCACGAAACTAACCGGATTCCGCGAAGATATTGCCGAGAAGGAACAAGCTTTGAAGATCGAAATATCCACGAAATCATGAGTCCTAGACAAGTAACGTTGGTTTTCTGATAAACAGAGAATGTGTTGCATGGCAGATACAACAGAGCGGGGCAATGCTCAGGATAAGAAGAAAGGCAAGGACGACAAGAAGGATGACAAGAAGGACTTTCCAGTCGGTGGAAGACATGACCTCTTGCTGGCTTCATTCAGAACAAGCACAGAGACCGGTAGACCATGTTAGACCCATCTTGACCCGCCCGATGGGAACAAAGATGTTCCCACTTCTTCAGTGTTTTGTCCGGGTGGAAGGGCGTTGGATACCCTTCGTGTCGCGAAGCACATTAAGCGTTCTCTCAGAGCGGTGCATGTGAGTTTGACTGTAGTGCATTTGGCAGGACAAGAAGAAAGAGAAAGAGAAGGTGAGGGGTTCGAAACAAGACTTGCTGGTCTAAAGGCAAAGGTTTGTTGAAAGAACAAAGACCAGGCAAAATCGGGGTTGCTTTTCGCTTATCCAATAGATTGTTTGATGACAGACAGGGTTTTCAGGAATTCTTGAAGATCGTTGACCTTCGCACCTTTTCTTCCACCTGTAAAGGAGGATTGGACAGTTTCCGGCACCGTCAAACGGCAATGAGCCCAAGCTCCAGGCACTGTCAGTGGCCCCGAAAGCTCAGGATAAGAAAGATGACAAGAAGGACAAGAAAGACAAAGATGCCAAGGGCAGCAAGGACGCCAAGGACACTGTGGGACACCAGTGTGGACATGGTACGCGTACACCATCATACATCTCATACATCTACAACTGGGGGGTGGTCAGGAAGGAGCGACTGAGGGTCGCTAGGGGTATCCATAGTTCCCCCAAAAGGGAGCCCACAGGAGTTAGCAAGGTCTAACTCCAGCTGAGGGCGGGACTAGATCTTACCTTCAACGCCAGAAGGGCCGATTAAATGGCTGGACTGGTGTGAATTGGTGCTCACACCCAGACTGGTCCATTTCTTCCAAGCACTGATCTCCAGACTCACTCCAGACAGATAGAGTGATTAGAGTATAAGCCCCTAAAGGCACTGATTGAGTTCCATCTTTGGAGCCTTCAAAGGGAGTTGAAGAGTCTCGGGTCTGGTAGAAGAGCAGCATGGCTCGCAATGGATAGAGCATGGCAAGCCTACTTGTGTGGATGAAGCAAGGTGCAAAACCCTACTCTTGGATCCACCTACAAAAAGTCCTGAGGGGCCTCATCTAGACAAGAAATGGAGTTTGATATATATATATATATTATATTATGTATAACTATATACTAAATGTGCAGAAAGGAATTTTTTCCCAAGAAGTTCTAGGTATGGCATGGGAAGAGGACAGTTGTGTCGTTGG